AAGACATTAAAGCCTTGATAATATTAACAGGAAGACATGAAAGACTTGATAAGAGTAACAGGAAGACATGAAAGACTTGATAAGACTAACAGGAAGATATGAAAGACTTGATAAGAGTAACAGGAAGATATGAAAGACTTGATAAGAGTAACAGGAAGATATGAAAGACTCGATAAGACTAACAGGAAGACATCAAAGACTTGATAAGACTAACAGGAAGACATGAAAGACTTGATAAGAGTAACAGGAAGATATGAAAGACTTGATAAGACTAACAGGAAGATATGAAAGACTTGATAAGAGTAACAGGAAGATATGAAAGACTTGATAAGAGTAACAGGAAGACATGAAAGACTTGATAAGAGTAACAGGAAGACATGAAAGACTTGATAAGACTAACAGGAAGATATGAAAGACTTGATAAGACTAACAGGAAGACATGAAAGACTTGATAAGACTAACAGGAAGATATGAAAGACTTGATAAGACTGACAGGAAAAAATGAAAGACTTCATAAGACTAACAGGAAGATATGAAAGACTTCATCAGACTAACAGGAAAAAATGAAAGACTTCATCAGACTTACAGGAAGATATGAAAGACTGAGAGGAAAATATAAAGACTTCATCAGACTCAGAGGAAGACATGAAAGACTTCATCAAACTAACAGGAAGACATGAAAGACTTGATCAGACTAACAGGAAGATATGAAAGACTTAATAAGAGTAACAGGAAGATATGAAAGACTTGATAAGACTAACAGGAAGACATGAAAGACGTGATCAGAGTAGCAGGAAGACATGAAAGACTTGATAAGACTAACAGGAAGACATGAAAGACTTGATAAGACTGACAGGAAGATATGAAAGACTCGATAAGACTAACAGGAAGACATGAAAGTCTTGATCAGACTAACAGGAAGATATGAAAGACTTGATAATACTAACAAGAAGACATGAAAGACTTGATAAGACTAACAGGAAGACATGAAAGACTTGATAAGACTAACAGGAAGATATGAAAGACTTGATAAGACTAACAGGAAGATATGAAAGACTTGATAAGACTAGCAGGAAGACATGAAAGACTTGATAAGACTAACAGGAAGACATGAAAGCCTTGATAATACTAACAGGAAGACATGAAAGACTTGATAAGAGTAACAGGAAGACATGAAAGACTTGATAAGACTAACAGGAAGATATGAAAGACTTGATAAGACTGACAGGAAAAAATGAAAGACTTCATAAGACTAACAGGAAGATATGAAAGACTTCATCAGACTAACAGGAAAAAATGAAAGACTTCATCAGACTTACAGGAAGATATGAAAGACTGAGAGGAAAATATAAAGACTTCATCAGACTCAGAGGAAGACATGAAAGACTTCATCAAACTAACAGGAAGACATGAAAGACTTGATCAGACTAACAGGAAGATATGAAAGACTTAATAAGAGTAACAGGAAGATATGAAAGACTTGATAAGACTAACAGGAAGACATGAAAGACGTGATCAGAGTAGCAGGAAGACATGAAAGACTTGATAAGACTAACAGGAAGACATGAAAGACTTGATAAGACTGACAGGAAGATATGAAAGACTCGATAAGACTAACAGGAAGACATGAAAGTCTTGATCAGACTAACAGGAAGATATGAAAGACTTGATAATACTAACAAGAAGACATGAAAGACTTGATAAGACTAACAGGAAGACATGAAAGACTTGATAAGACTAACAGGAAGATATGAAAGACTTGATAAGACTAACAGGAAGATATGAAAGACTTGATAAGACTAGCAGGAAGACATGAAAGACTTGATAAGACTAACAGGAAGACATGAAAGACTTGATAATACTAACAGGAAGACATGAAAGACTTGATAAGAGTAACAGGAAGACATGAAAGACTTGATAAGACTAACAGGAAGATATGAAAGACTTGATAAGACTAACAGGAAGACATGAAAGACTTGATAAGACTAACAGGAAGATATGAAAGACTTGATAAGACTGACAGGAAAAAATGAAAGACTTCATAAGACTAACAGGAAGATATGAAAGACTGAGAGGAAAATAAAAAGACTTCATCAGACGCAGAGGAAGACATGAAAGACTTCATCAAACTAACAGGAAGACATGAAAGACTTGATCAGACTAACAGGAAGATATGAAAGACTTAATAAGAGTAACAGGAAGATATGAAAGACTTGATAAGACTAACAGGAAGACATGAAAGACGTGATCAGAGTAGCAGGAAGACATGAAAGACTTGATAAGACTAACAGGAAGACATGAAAGACTTGATAAGACTGACAGGAAGATATGAAAGACTCGATAAGACTAACAGGAAATCATGAAAGTCTTGATCAGACTAACAGGAAGATATGAAAGACTTGATAATACTAACAAGAAGACATGAAAGACTTGATAAGACTAACAGGAAGACATGAAAGACTTGATAAGACTAACAGGAAGATATGAAAGACTTGATAAGACTAGCAGGAAGACATGAAAGACTTGATAAGACTAACAGGAAGACATGAAAGACTTGATAATACTAACAGGAAGATATGAAAGACTTGATAAGACTAGCAGGAAGACATGAAAGACTTGATAAGACTAACAGGAAGACATGAAAGACTTGATAAGACTAACAGGAAGATATGAAAGACTTGATAAGACTAACAGGAAGATATGAAAGACTTGATAATACTAACAAGAAGACATGAAAGGCTTGATAAAACTCACGGGACGATATGAAAGACTTGATAAGACTAACAGGAAGATATTAAGACTTCACTAGGCTGAGAGGAAGACATGAAAGACTTGATAAGACTAACAGGAAGACATGAAAGACTTGATAAGACTAACAGGAAGATATGAAAGACTTGATAATACTAACAAGAAGACATGAAAGGCTTGATAAAACTCACGGGACGATATGAAAGACTTGATAAGACTAACATGAAGATATGAAAGACTTGATAGGACTAACAGGAAGATATGAAAGACTTCACCAGGCTGAGAGGAAGACATGAAAGACTTGATCAGACTAACAGGAAGATATAAAGACTTCATCAGACTTAGAGGAAGTTATGAAAGACTTGATAAGACTAACAGGAAGACATGAAAGACTCCACCAGGCTGAGAGGAAGACATGAAAGACTTGATAAGACAAACAGGAAGATATGAAAGACTCGATAAGACTAACAGGAAGACATGAAAGACTTGATAAGACTAACAGGAAGACATGAAAGACTTGATAAGACTAACAGGAAGATATGAAAGACTTCATCAGACTTAGAGGAAGATATGAAAGACTTGATAAGACTAACAGGAAGACATGAAAGACTCCACCAGGCTGAGAGGAAGACATGAAAGGCTTGATAAAACTCACGGGACGATATGAAAGACTTGATAAGACTAACATGAAGATATGAAAGACTTGATAGGACTAACAGGAAGATATGAAAGACTTCACCAGGCTGAGAGGAAGACATGAAAGACTTGATCAGACTAACAGGAAGATATAAAGACTTCATCGGACTTAGAGGAAGATATGAAAGACTTGATAAGACTAACAGGAAGACATGAAAGACTCCACCAGGCTGAGAGGAAGACATGAAAGACTTGATAAGACAAACAGGAAGATATGAAAGACTCGATAAGACTAACAGGAAGATATGAAAGACTTGATAAGACTAACAGGAAGACATGAAAGACTTGATAAGACTAACAGGAAGATATGAAAGACTTGATAAGACTAACATGAAGATGTGAAAGACTTGATAAGACTAACAGGAAGATATGAAAGACTCGATAAGACTAACAGGAAGACATGAAAGACTTGATAAGACTTACAGGAAGACATGAAAGACTTGATAAGACTAACGGGAAGATATGAAAGACTTCATCAGACTAACAGGAAAAAATGAAAGACTTCATCAGACTTACAGGAAGATATGAAAGACTGAGAGGAAGATATAAAGACTTCATCAGACGCAGAGGAAGACATGAAAGACTTCATCAAACTAACAGGAAGACACGAAAGACTTGATAAGACTAGCAGGAAGACATGAAAGACTTGATAAGACTGACAGGAAGATATGAAAGACTTGATAAGACTAACAGGAAGATATGAAAGTCTTGATCAGACTAACAGGAAGATATGAAAGACTTGATAAGACTAACAGGAAGACATGAAAGACTTCATAAGACTAACAGGAAGACATGAAAGACTTGATCAGACTAGCAGGAAGATATGAAAGACTTGATAAGACTGACAGGAAGATATGAAAGACTTGATAAGACTAACAGGAAGATATGAAAGACTGGATAAGGCTAACAGGAAGATATGAAAGACTGCATCAGACTAACAAGAAAATATGAAAGATTTCATCAGACGCAGAGGAAGATATGAAAGACTTCATCAGACTAACAGGAAGATATTAAAGACTAAGAGGAAGATATAAAGACTTCATCAGACGCAGAGGAAGATATGAAAGACTTGATAAAACTAACAAGAAGATATGAAAAACTGGATAAGGCTAACAGGAAGATATGAAAGACTTCATCAGACTAACAAGAAAATATGAAAGATTACATCAGACGAACAGGAAGATATTAAAGACTTTATCAGACTAACAGGAAGATATTAAAGACTTCATCAGACGCAGAGAAGGAGAAACATAAAAGACTTGATAAGACTAACAGGAAGATATGAAAGACATCATCAGACGCAGAGGAAGACATGAAAGAATTGATAAGACTGAGAGGAAGACATGAAAGAATTGATCAGACTTACAGGGTTTCGCTAAGACAGTTACACGCAGACAGGATCCAGATTAACAGGGTTTAATGTGCGGACTGGTTCCAGATTTAAAGAGATTTACTTTATCAAACACATGCATGACTGATTCAGACTGATAGGATCTACTTTTAGCAGCACACAGTGACGAGATCCAGAAGGATTGGGGATGCCCACTGATACTCACCTCAAGCGGGAGAAGCAGTACAGAAATACACACAACGACGACCAACACGAGAATTGCCGCTTTTTTCTTCATCTCAGTGTATCTGTGATAAAATAGTTTTAAAAGATTTTATATATCAGTAGTTCTATGTATGTCACTTATTCCTTAAACAAATACGAAACATTCATTTCAATCAGGTAATTATAGATGTATAAACAGATCACATGATAATGATCATGTAGTACAAGGATCATGTGCTACAAGGACCATGTCCTACAATTATCATGTGCTACAAGGACCATGTAGTACAAGGATCATGTGCTACAAGGACCATTTGCTACAAGGACTATGTGCTACAAGGATCATGTGCTACAAGGACTATGTGCTACAAGGGTCATGTGCTACAAGGACCATGTGCTACAAGGACCATGTGCTACAAGGACCATGTGCTACAAGGATCATGTGCTACAAGGACCGTGTGCTACAAGGATCATGTGATACAAGGATCATGTGCTACAAGGACCATGTGCTACAAGGATCATGTGCTACAAGGACCATGTGCTACAAGGACCGTGTGCTACAAGGATCATGTGATACAAGGACCATATATTGCAAGGATCATTTGCTACAAGGACCATGTGCTACAAGGACCATGTGCTACAAGGATCATGTGCTACAAGGACCATGTGCTACAAAGACCATGTGCTACAAGGATCATGTGCTACAAGGACCGTGTGCTACAAGGATCATGTGATACAAGGATCATGTGCTAAAAGGACCATGTGCTACAAGGACTATGTGCTACAAGGATCATGTGCTACAAGGACCATGTGCTACAAGGACCGTGTGCTACAAGGATCATGTGCTACAAGGATCATGTGCTACAAGGATCATGTGCTACAAGGACTATGTGCTTCTAGGATCATGTTCTACGAGGACCATGTGCTACAAGGATCATGTGCTACAAGGATCATGTGCTACAAGGATCATGTGCTACAAGGACTTTGTGCTACTAGGATCATGTTCTACGAGGACCATGTGCTACAAGGATCATGTGCTACAAGATCCATGTGTTACGAGGATCATGTGCTACAAGGATCATGTGCTACAAGATCCATGTGCTACGAGGATCGTGTGCTACAAGGATCATGTGCTACAAGGATCATGTGTTACAAGGATCATGTGCTACAAAGACCATGTGCTACAAGGATCATGTGCTACAATGATCATTAGCTACAAGGACCATGTGCTACAAGGATCATGTGCTACAAGGATCATGTGCTACAAGGATCATGTGCTACAAGGACTATGTGCTACTAGGATCATGTTCTACGAGGACCATGTGCTACAAGGATCATGTGATACAAGGATCATGTGCTACAAGGACCATATGCTGCAAGGATCATTTGCTACAAGGACCGTGTGCTATAAGGATCATGTGCTACAAGGACCATGTGCTACAAGGATCATGTGCTACAAGATCCATGTGTTACGAGGATCATATGCTACAAGGATCATGTGCTACGAGGATCATGTGCTACAAGATCCATGTGCTACGAGGATCATGTGCTACAAGGATCATGTGCTAAAAGGATCATGTGTTACAAGGATCATGTGCTACAAAGACCATGTGCTACAAGGAGCATGTGCTACAATGATCATTAGCTGCAAGGACAATGTGATACAAGGATCATGTGATACAAGCACTATGTGTTACATGATCATGTATTTTGCTCGTTGACGAATAAAGGTACATTTCCAGGGTGTGAACGAAATTTGTCTCCCTGAAATGATCAAGAATGGTACACCAGTTGGAGCCAATATCCCTGTAGCCGTGCGCGTCCAAACTTCCCACAAGGTGTAGCTGTCCTAGCAGGAGCTGTACTGCCATCCCACATCATTATGGAACAAAATATTGGAACCAGCACAAAATCGATTATGCGTCAATGCAGCAGCATGCTCCAAACACTTCATGGCACCGTCAGATAGACTTCGGCTATCATGTCAAAATTAACCAAAGCGCAGCAACGCGACATTTCGGCCATTTGTCGCATTGTCGCGTTATCACATTGTCGCGCTTTGAATAACATCATTTTAATATCACCAAAGAGGCGTCTTAATGGATCGGGTGGTCAGACAACAATTATATATCTATTGCCATGCGCTTTGGAAAACATACATGGGACCTATTAACTCGACCCGAACTAGAAGCTGCTTAAACAAGGCAGCAATGCCCACCCCTGAATCTGAGGGACGACACACGGAAGAGGAAGAGTAAACTAGTGATCGTCAGCAGGAGAGATGAAAAATGCTGCCTCGGTTGCTTTCTTTGCTACATTATCCTAATATGAATGAGACCCGTGAGTGAGTGAGTGAGACCCGTGAGTGAGTGAGTGAGACCCGTGAGTGAGTGAGTGAGACCCGTGAGTGAGTGAGTGAGTGAGTGAGTGAGTGAGTGAGTGAGAGAGAGAGAGAGAGAGAGAGAGAGAGTGAGTGAGTGAGTGAGTGAGTGAGTTGAATAGGTCTTCAGCAACCCATGCTTGCCTTAAAAGGCGACTATGCTTGTCGTAAAATGCGATTAACGGGATCGGGTGGTCAGGTTCGCTGACTGGGCTGATGCATGTCATCGATCCCAATTGCGTGGATCGATGCTCATGATATCAATCACTGGATTGTCTGGTCCAGACTCGATTATTAACAGACCGCCATCAAATAGCTGGAATATTGCTGAGTGCGGCGTTAAACAAGAAACCAACCAACCAAATGTATCAGTTCTCCTGTACACAGCGCTGACCATTACATCCGGGGAACGCAAGCCCCAAACGCTCGTGAGTCAACTGTCCAAAACTCCCAGCAGCGCTAAGGATGCACCAAAGGTAAGCCCTGTTACACACACTGGCAGCACTGGTGCACTGGCTGCAATAAGTTTCACAATGTTACAATGGCATAGTAAGAAGGGAGACACGTCTGATCCTAATAATTACAGGGGCATTTCACGGCAGTGGTTGGAGGTAAATGAAGTTTAACAGAAGCTCAAGCTGGTTTCAGACACGATCATTGGACTAGCGTCAATATCTTTGTTCTACAGTCTTTAGCGCAAAAATATCTTCGAAAACCAAAGCATCGTTTTTATGCAGCATTTATTGACTTCCGGAAAGCGTTTGATTCCGTTGATAGAGCTAAGTTATTATATCTGCTTTTAAAGAAAGGCATACATGGCAAAATTAATAAAGTGTTAAAGAATATGTATGAACATGTTTTTGCTTGTGTTCGTACGGGAAATTTTAGAACTGACGCATTTCAGACCTCCAGTGGAGTCCGACAGGGCTGTATGTTAAGCCCTCTGTTATTTATATTCTTTATAAACCAACTTGCATCCGATTTAGATAAGAGTGTAACAAAAGGAATTTTTGTGAATGATTATATTAATGAAATTGTTGCTGTTTGCGGATGACATTGTCTTAGTGCCGGACTCTGTTATTAAGTTACAGAGAAAATTAGATAAAATGGAATTATTTTGTGATACTTGGGGTCTGGAAGTCAATATGGATAAATCAAATATAATTGTTTTCAGAAATGGTGGTGTTATTAAACGAGTTGAAAAATGGTACTATAAAAATACAGAAATGAAAATAGTAACATAATATGAATACTTGGGCATTGTCTTTTCATCAGGTCTTCTATGGTCTAAGGACTGTGAAAACCTAGCCACACAGGCCAAGAAAGCATGTTTTCCTATTTTTAAGTTGATTAAGCTCTATCCTTACTTGTCATTTAAGGTAATTGTTTCTATATGTCAAAGCAAAATAGCTCCCATTGCTTGTTATGGAAGTGAAATTTGGGGATTAACATTTAGAGAAAGTATAGAAAAAGTCCAAAGTTCTTTTTTTACGAGATATTTATCAATCAGTAATAAAGCATCATCTAATGCGGTTCTTGGTGAAGTTGGCCGTTATCATCTAAGTGTTATTTATTTCAGCCGATGTATAAGATGTTGGTGTAGATTGATACGCATGAATTCAAATGGACTTCCACATGCTTGTTATAAAATGCTGAAAGTACAAGATGATAATGGTAGTGTTAATTGGGCATCTCTTGGGAGAATGCTTTTGATTGAATCTGGTTTTGGTTATGCGTGGATATCGCAGGACTGTGGACCTATACATTGTTTTATGGAATTATTCAAGAGAAGATGTGTTGACATTGTTGTACAAAACTGGAGTCAAAAGATTAACAATTCTGTGTTCTTGAACCATTATGCGTCATATAAATCCCAATTAGCAACTGAACTCTATTTAATCTCATACTTTGATAAGGATCTTGTAAGAGTTTGGGCGAAATTTCGATGTTTAGCACATGGTTTAAAAGTACAAAAACAGCGCTTTAGCAAACAGTTTATACAACCTGAATTAATGTTCTGTGATAATTGTGATTTATTAGAATTAGAAGATGAATATCATTTAGCACTAGTTTTCCCATATTGCGAGAAAAGCAGAGATGGTTTAATTCCTCGTTATTTTCATCATTGTCCATCAAGAAATTTGACTCCCTGATGTCCCAAAAAATGTTAATGTTATAAGAGGTTTTTCTCTTTATCTAAAGAGAACTTTGCCAGTTTAGCGTTAAGCAGAAGTGTTAATCTGGATTAAAGATATGGTTTTATTTGTAGATATATAATCTTTTTATTTAGCAATTACGTAATACATCCACATGCCACTATCGTACTCATGTTATATGAAAGGACTTGTACTCTTGGCCACGAGGCCTTCAATACTGCATAAACTCTCTCTTAATGGCATAGTACTACAAAACTGGCACATCTTTAAGAAAAGAGTTCCTATTCTTGAAAGCAAGAAACACGTACTTTGCAAATTTTCTCAGAATATAGAGATTGCAGCTATATATTTATTTAGTTTATCATGAGTTGGACATGTGTCATTTGTCACATTACACATTACAATCATTGTCAAATTAATCCCGTTATTGTTGCCTAGTGACTATTGCTTAAAACACATCCTCTAATATAATACCTTGAATTTGGGTAAAAGTGATAGTGAACAAATGTCGACAGTGGCGACCTAGACCACTTACCTGCCGAGAGAG